GGAATGCCAAAAGGTTTATTTAATGACAGAAAATAAAAAAGTTCCCAAAGGCTTTCCCGTGGCTATGCGAGTAAAAATTAGGCTAGCAACAGTTCGGCTAGAAACTCCCAAACTAGAACTCTCCGGAACTGCATGAAAACTAGAATTCTGAACATCAGTGGTAAGTGACCCAAACATAAACTTGACCTAAATCCATAATTTTATCCTCCGCAAATGTTCCTAAAATATCCCAGAATCTACTTCTGGGTTTTTTGCAATCAATTAAAATAGTATTTTTGTCATGAGAACCTGAACAGAAAATTCTGAAATCCTCCGTGCATGTGCATTAAGAATGCATATGTCTAGTGTATTCTCCGATTAACATTTAATTGTGTTGATTGATTGGTATTTGTGTTTATTGAGCGTGGCTAGCTCCGGAGTGGCCGGAACTACTTGCAGCGCTCTACAGCCATGAATTACACGCAGAGAGTGCGTTATAAGAAATAATGACCGGTAGAACGTTTTGACATTGCATTCAAATCGATGGAGCGTTCTACTGCTGCTGTGAGGAGCCGTGTAATAAAACTATTTAAGACTCATATTGACACAACACAATTGCCTACTTCTCCTTTAACTAAACAGACAACAATAAGTTTATTTTTTATTTTATTATTATTTTATTTAATATATTTTTGTATTGCAGTGGGGTATGGGGGTGGGGGAGGGGGAGTTGAGCTACTCCCACTTCTATTGAAAGTCTATGGCAGTATCTTTGTCTCAGGATCACATGGTCAACAGCAGCTGAACCCTATGGATCTAGATCCTATTGTGTTTCAGTCTCAGCGATTCAGGTGTGTTCATAAAGTGCCTGTCATGACACCAAAGTGCTAGTGGTGCGCACAGACTGTTGTATTCAACCTGAACTACAGCTTCACATTTCATGCAGCACCTGCCACTCACACATGCACAACATTCACACAAGGCAAAGTGGGTCAAGTGTCTTGCCTAAGGGCACAACGAGTCGCTCCACAGTAGCACCTGGTGTTCCCAGCAGTCTCCATCACAGCAGTACCCAGGCCTCACACCATGAGACCAGTGTACTAGCTGTTAGCTTTAGCATCATGACGGACCAATGCACCAAATCTACTGGTTTTGTGAAACACTAAGGTTTAAGTTCCAAATAGTGCTGTTCTCCCTGTGATATTTGAGAGGTTTTGTATCTGTTTTGGGAAGTGGGAGTGTTTTAGTTTGAGTTTGTTTTAGTTCATTCACGATTTCACACAGTCACTAAACAGTTCATGTGCTAAATTATAAGAATGGAACTTTCAGAAGCTACTAGCTTATTCAGTAGTGCTCCATCTGTTGTCATTGTGAAAACAGTCAGATTTTAGGGAATGGGAATTGGGAGTTGGGAATCGGTGGTGGGAATGAGGGGGGACGGTGAGGGTGTAGGTGTGTACTTCTTAACACCTGGACATGTCTTTGTCTTGTTTAAGTGTGACCTGTGGTGGCTGGTCTGACCTAAACACCACATCTTTTTGTCTTCTGGTTATTGCTCTAGTCTGAGTCCTCCCTTTTCTTTCCGTCAGATGGCTGATAGTCTTGTCTTTCGGCTCGATCCGCATCCTCAGCTGTTGGATGTTGTGTTCAGAGGTCCTCTCGGCCTCCTCCACAGCCTCCTCACACACCACCTCAAGCGCCTTGACCTCCTTCACGTACTTATTCCTGGCCACGGTGAGTCTTTTTTCTGACGCAGCATGTACATTTCTCAACTTCTGTCTATTCTCAGCTTTGAGTTTGGCCTTCTCCTCCTCCATCTCTGCGATAACAGAGGTTTTCATGAGGATATTGGCGCTACACTCCTCTAACTCTTTCCGGGTGTTTGCCGGATTTTCCTCCAGTGTCTTAAGCGCCGACTCTCGCTCTTGCATCCGCTTGTCGATGCAGCTGTTGGCGTCTAGTACAGGAAAGTTGAGGAGGTCAATGGTGTCCTTGTATTCTGCCTTCACTTGTGTAAGCTCTCTCTCCAGGCGGTCTATGGTCTCCAGTCTCTCCGCCCTCACCATTGCCAGCTCTTGCTCCTGTAGGTCTATGTTTTCCTGGTTCTCAGATTTAATTTTTGCCAGCTCTCTCTGCAGGCAAACTATGGTTTCCTGGTTCTCTGCCTTCACTTGTGTAAGCTCTCTCTCCAGGCGGTCTATGGTCTCCAGTCTCTCCGCCCTCACCATTACCAGCTCTTGCTCCTGTAGGTCTATGGTTTCCTGGTTCTCTGAGTTTGTTTTTGCCAGCTCTCTCTGCAGGCAAACTATGTCTTCCTGGTTTGCCGGCTTCATTTGTGCAAGTTCTCTCTTCAGGCGGTCTAGGGTCACCAGTCTCTCCACCCTCTCCATTGCCAGCTCTCTCTGCAGGCAAACTATGGCTTCCTGGTTTGCCGGCTTCATTTGTGCAAGTTCTCTCTTCAGGCGGTCTATGGTCACTAGTCTCTCTACCCTCTCCATTGCCAGCTCTTGCTTCTGGAGGTATATGGTTTCCTGGTTCTCTGACTTTGTTTTTGCCAGCTCTCTCTGCAGGCAAACTGTGGTTTCCTGGTTTGCCTCCTTCACTTGTGCAAGTTGTCTCTGCAGGCGGTCTATGTCCGCCCTCACCATTGCCAGCTCACTACCCTGGAGGTCTATGATCTCCTGGTTCTCCGTCTTCACTTGTACAAGCTCTCTCTGCATGCGGTTTATGGTCTCCATTCTTTCCTCCCAGACCATTGCCAGCTCTTGGTCCTGGAGGTCTATGGTGTCCTGGTTCTCCTGTTTCTCCGCCTTCACTAGTGCAAGCTCTTTCTGCAGGCGGTCTATGGTCTCCAGTCTCTCCGCCCTCACCATTGCCAGCTCCTGCTCCTGGAGGTCTATGGTCTCCTGGTTCTCCGCCTTCACTTGTGCAAGCTCTCTCTGCAGGCGGGTTATGGTCTCCAGTCTCTCTGCCCTCACCATTGCCAGCTCCTGCTCCTGGAGGTCTATGGTCTCCTGGTTCTCCGCCTTCACTTGTGCAAGCTCTCTCTGCAGGCGGGTTATGGTCTCCAGTCTCTCTGCCCTCACCATTGCCAGCTCTTGCTCCTGGAGGTCTATCGTGTCCTGGTTCTCCGCCTTCACTTTGGCCAGCTCTCTCCGCAGGTGGTCTATGGTCTCCTGGTTCTCTGCCTTCACCAGTGCCAACGCTCTTTCCCGGAGGTCTATGGTCCCCTGGTTATCCTGGTTCTCTGCCTTGACCAGTGCCAGCTCTCTCTGCAGCTCTGTGTTCACTGCGTCCTTCTGCCTGTTCTGCTCTTCGAACGCCTTTTCTGAAGCAGCCGCGGCCTCCTTCACAGACTGAAACTCATGCTTCATCACCTGCTTCTGGTCTTGCAAAGCAGAGATTATTGACCGGTAGCTACTGGCCTCTTCTGCAGACTTTTCACACGCTGCGTTCAGGGCCTCCATCTCCTGCTGAGCCTGCTGCAGTGTTGCCTGCAGCTGTCGAATCTCTTCCTGATGAGTGTCTTCCAGCTCTCTCCTCTGCTGCTGCTCCCTCTGCAGATCCTTCAACAGCCTCTGGTGCTGTTCCACTGACACCAGCAGGTTGTCCTCCAGCTCTTCTATAATCATGTCCTCCTCGGATTTCCGTCTAACGCACCACATTGTGTTCAGTTGTGTTTACCTAAATTTTACCTCAACTTAGGTTTTCTCTGCCTGGGACGGACTCCGACACACACACACAAAAACTATAGGCCTGACATCAAAACGTCATGGCAACGCCGAGGATTCCATGGTAACCATGGTGGGTTTGGTTACCGTGGCGACTTGGGCAGCCCTCTTGCATGACAGGACAGAATTCCCATTGAAAATAATGATTTTTTAAAATGAAAATACGAACAGTTTTATAGTTAATTATAAGCATTGTCCCCATTGGTCAATGTGAGAAACTTCTGCAGCTCCAGCAAGAAGACTTCTTTGTATTCTAAAGTTTGGACATAACTAAAATAAACTTATTTAGGTTTTTACATGGAATAAATTGTGAAACAGCACAGTGTACAGGAGACATCACATTCTCTTCCTGTCTTCATGAACAGCAGGAGCAGTTAATCCATCAAATACACCCCGTTCCATCTAGTTCCACAGTCACACAAACACACACACACGTTTGTGTGTATCAGTGTATCGCGCGTGTATCAGTATTAATAAGAGAAAAAGCGTGTAAGTTTTGCTGTTGTGAGATCAATAAAGTTTATCTTTCCTTAGATATGTTGTCCCCTGGGGAGTTCCTGGATGCAGCCACCGATGGCGGACGTGTCTCTGTGAGCTCCGTTATACCCAAGCGGATTTGACCTTGCAATACACCTTTTTTTTGCTCCTGTATGGCACCAGTCTCGTGTGAGCTCACATATGAAACCGTCTGGGTCATCTGACTGCACTCCGGTAATTAAGCAACGTCTCCTGGCGAACAAATTTAACTCCGTGTTAAACGTGCTAACTAACGCTAGCTAACCACAAGCTAGCCGCAAGATGGCAGGGGAACAAGAAAAGCCAACTCTGAAGTCGGTCATGAAGGCTATACGTGACTCACACAATGAGCTCTCAGCTAAGATTGACAGGAATCAAACTGACCTACAACAATCCCTGGCGAAAATTGAACAAGCTCAAACCACGCTTTTTGAGCAAGTGCAGGAAATGGAGACCCGCGTTGGAGCTAACGAGGACAACATGGTGGACGCTGTGACCCGTATCACCACAATGGAGAACGAAATCAAACTCCTGAAAGTAAAGGCTGATGACTTGGAAAATAGGAGTAGGAGGTCAAATATTAAGATTATCAATGTCCCAGAAAGAGCGGAAGGCAACGACACGGCCGCCTTCGTGGAGCGCCTTATCCCTAGGCTGTTTGGGGAAGGACATTTCACAAGTCCGGTCGTAATTGAGCGAGCGCACCGCCTGGGCAGACCCGCGGACCGGACAAGACCCATCATAGCAAAATTTCTCAACTACAGGCAAAGAGAGATGGTGCTCCGCTTGGCCAGAGAAAAGCACCCTCTGCTTCTAGACGACAACCGCATCTCATTCTACCCGGACTACAGCGCTGAGACCCAACGCAACATGCTCGCATACAACGAGGTGAAGAAGAAACTACGGGATAAAAACATCGAGTACGCGAGCCGCTATCCTGCAAAGCTGAGAGTGCGCCACGAAGGGGCATTCAAGCTTTTCTCATCACCCGCGGAGGTGGAAAACTTTCTCCGCACTTTGGAAGATTAATATCATCTGAACTAGACACAATTAGCGTTATTACCCCGAACACAGGTACAGACTGCATTTTCCATGTGTGTTGACACGTTCAAGATTGTCATAGATGTTTAGCAGTATTGATATACAAAGAAGCTCATACCTGGTATAATATCTGGTAGCGAAGGAGCATAAAAAATCAGCTAATACCAATGACTCCCGCTTGGGCAGCAGAGTTATAGTAGATATAGCTGTACCTACCCTAATGTTATTTTTGTTTTGTTCTACTTTTTATTTTTGTAGGGTGGGTTTTGTGTTTTTTTTTAATATTACTTTTAAATGGGTTTTGGGGGCTCTCTCTCTACACATCAGTGTCATTGATTATACCAAATATACCTTGTTGATAATTATTTCGAAAACAAAGTTATCTGATTAATGGTCAATAGTTTTGGGCAAATAATCTGTATCTCAATGAATGTCAGAGGGATTAACTCTCCTATTAAACGAAAGAAGGTACTAACATATCTGAAGAAACAACATGCAGATATTGCTCTAATTCAGGAGACCCATCTCACTGACACAGAGCATCTGAAGCTGCGCAGGGACTGGGTCGGGCATGTCTTTTATTCCTCATTTACATCAAAAGCAAGGGGGGTAGCTCTGCTCATAAATAAAAACTTAAAATTTCAGTTAAATTTAACAGACAAGGATACATCCGGTAGATACGTATTAATTGATTGTGTTATAAATACAAACAGATTAACATTGGTGTCTGTTTATGGCCCTAATATAGACGATCCAAGTTTTTTTAACAACTTTATTATGAGACTAGCAGAAACAGAGGGCAAATGTATAGTGGGGGGTGACTTTAATCTTGTTTTGAACCCTGCTTTAGACCGATCGTCACCCACAACAACCAATCGCTCCAAATCTGCAAAAGCCCTATCTCAAGGAATGAAGGATCTTGGCTTAAAGGACATATGGCGACTACAGAACCCTGTGATGAGAGACTATTCCTTTTACTCTAATGTACATAACACATATTCCAGAATTGATATGTTTTTAACTTCACAAGCACTTGTTGAAAAAATTAGAACCTGCTCATATTTAGCAGCCACTATCTCAGACCATAATGCCATAAAGTTAGAAATTGATCTGCTCGACTCCGAACACCATCCCGGCAATTGGAGATTTAAAACCTATCTATTGAAAGACCCTAATTTCATCAAATTTATGAACACAAAAATAGACGATTACCTAGAAACAAATATAAACACTGCCTCTCATTCAATTGTATGGGAAGCCCTTAAAGTAGTACTAGAATTTAATATGCTGCTATCCAGAATATATAACTACAATATGTGTTTATAATATTTCGGGTGTTCATTTTGACATGTTTAGATGAATTATGTTTAAAAAACGGCTTTCAAGTGGCACCTTTATAAAAACGCTAGGGGGAGCCAAAATGGCGGCGATGACGTAGGGGAAGGGCATCTCACAGCAGCAGACAGCAGTCTGGTTGGAAACTGTAGGAGGTTTCACTGTCATCTGAACAAGGTATAAACATATTCATCCGTTTTGTACATAATAGTGTGCAACTCTTTTAACCTTTTAGCCTTATTTGTGAGATTCAAGCTAATTAGTGTTGGGCAAGTTAGCTAACTCTACTTAATATCATAAAACATGCTAACAAGGCTAATATTCGTGTTTACATTGTGCCAGTCTCACTGTGGTTGCCTTGAATTTATTTACCACAATGTACATTGTAATATTCAAAAATGCTAATCAAAATAACTTTAATTAAATAAATATTTTACTTTTATGAACAAAAAGCTGCAGAAGTTGAAAACATAGACTACATGTGATGCAATCATTGATAAAAATGCTAATTAAACCGTTAATAGGTGTTAGCATTTATGGATATTACAATGTACATTGTGGTAAATAAATCTAAGGCAACCAAAGTGAGACTGGCATAATGTAAAAACGAATATTAGCCTTGTTAGCATGTTTTATGATATCTAGTAGAGTTAGCTAACTTGCCCAACACTAATTAGCTTGAATCTCACAAATAAGGCTAAAAGGTTAAAAGAGTTGCACACTATTATGTACAAAACGGATGAAAATATGTTTATACCTTGTTCAGATGACAGTGAAACCTCCTACAGATTCAGCCCAGACTGCTGCTGCTGCTGTGAGATGCCCTCCTCCTACGTCATCGCCGCCATTTTGGCCCCCCCTAGCGTTTCTATGCGGAAGTGAAAAAGTGCCACTTGAAAGCCGTTTTTTTAACATAATTCATCTGAACATGTCAAAATGAACACCCGAAATATTATAAACACATATTGTAGTTATATATTCTGGATAGCAGCATATTAAATTCTAGTACTACTTTAAGGCAAATATGAGAGGTTACATCATTTCGTATATTTCACATAAAAACAAGCAAAAAAGAGAACGCATTGCACAGCTGGAAAGTGAAATTAGAGCACTAGAACTTATCCATGCTCAAACTAAACAAACTGGAGCTCTCAGCGCTCTAAAGCAAAAACGTATTTTATATGATAATTTGTGTACAGGCAGAGCTGAGGCTGCAATGGCCAGAACCAAATATCATTATTATGAATATGGAAACAAAACCAGTAGATTGCTTGCGTTACAACTTAAAAAAGAGGATGCTAGAAAACAAATCCATTGCATTAAAACTGATGATGGACAGCTCTTAGAAGGGTCCAAGGATATAAACACTAAATTTAAAAGATACTATGAAACATTATACAAAACAGAGCAAACAAAGGAGAGTTCCAAGGTAAAAGAATTTATGAGTAAACTTCACCTCCCTAAATTGACCAGTGCAGACCGCTGTTTACTGGATATGGACATATCTGAAGAGGAAGTCTTCCTGGCAATGAAAAGTTTACAAAATAACAAGGCGCCAGGGCCAGATGGATACCCGATTGAATACTTCAAAACTTTCTCCAAAAAAATACTATCCCCTCTTACAAACATGATCAGGGAAGCATTTAAGAGACAAGCTCTTCCAAAGACATTAGAGCTTGCAATTGTAACAGTACTTCCTAAACCTGGAAAGGATGCACGGAGCTGCAACAACTACAGACCCCTCAGTCTTCTTAATTCAGATTACAAAGTACTCTCCAAAATCATAGCATTACGATTAGAAAAAATTATCCCCAAAATTATTCATGCTGACCAGACTGGTTTTGTTAAAAACAGACAGGGTGCAGACAATGTTAGGAGACTCTTGCATATTATTGACTATGCCCAAAAACAAAAAGAACAGACAGTGATCATATCCATGGATGCGGAGAAGGCCTTCGACAGGATGGAGCCATCCTTCCTGTTTGAGACCATGAGGGCGATGAATTTTGGTGACACTTTCCCAGGCTATATTAAAACTTTGTTCAATGCCCCCAGGTCTCGAATCCTGACTAATGGAGTTCTGTCGGAGGCCTTCTCCCTTTCAAGGGGCTGTCGCCAGGGGTGCCCCAGCTCTCCTGCTCTATTCTCTATCGCTATGGAACCACTGGCGATCTCTATACGCAACGACACAACTATTATCGGTGTTGAAATAGGGGCGGAGAGGCATAAATTGTCCTTATATGCAGACGATTTGGTTGTCTTTGTCTCCAAACCAACCACGTCAATCCCTGCTCTTCTAACCAGTTTGAAAACATATAGTGCAGTTTCTGGCTACAAAATAAACTACACTAAAAGTGAAGCTTTCCCAATCAATCTGACGGAACAAGAAGCGCATTCTTTCCCATCAGATTTTAAATGGTGCCCAGATGGGTTTAAATATCTAGGTATTAATATCCGTACATCTTATGACAAAATGTTCGATGACAATTACATATCAATATTAAATCAATCAAAATCAGAATTACAACGCTGGATGGATCTTCCTTTATCCCTAATGGGTAGGATTAATACAATCAAAATGAACCTACTGCCTAAATGTATCTATTTATTTCACTGTCTTCCAATTAGAATCCCAGTATCCTTTTTCAAAGACCTAGATAAAGCCATATCATCGTTCCTGTGGCACAAGAAAATACCTAGAGTGAAACTTCCCACTCTACAAGCTCCGCACTCCAAGGGTGGACTAAATCTCCCAAATTTCAAATACTATTATTTAGCTGCGCAATTCCGAGCAATGTGGATCTGGCTCCACCCAAATGTGGAGGAGGTGAGATGGCTCTCCATAGAGCTGCACGAGCTGCATCCCTTTTCGTTATCAATTATTCCCTTTTTGGGGACAAAGAAGAAATTGTTAGCTTTAACGCAAAACCAAATCATTTTAAATACATTTAATGCATGGCAACAATTACACACTCTTCTTGGTCTGAAAACAAGCTTGCTGGCGAATACACCTCTTGACAAGAACCCTAATATCCCACGGCCCATAGCAGATGGAGTTTTGCAAACCTGGGTCAAGAAAGGTATAAAAAATGTCACTGACCTTTATATCGATAATGTATTCGCAGAGTTTAGCGAATTATCTAAATGTTATAAGTTAGACAAGCACAATTTTTTCAAATACTTACAAATCAGAAATTGGATTAAAAGTGAATCAAAGGACTTCTTTCCAACTAAACCAAATGACACACATTTGGAGTCTTGCCTTTTTGACAAAAAGCGCAGGACTACAAAAGGTTTAACGTCCACTGTGTATAGAATTGTAGTTGGAAACTTACCAGCATATGAAAAATCTTCAATTAAGACAAAATGGGAATCTGACCTAGGATGCTCCTACACGAACGAAACATGGGACAAATTACTGAAACTTGCTCAGACAAAACTTGTATCTACCAAACACAGACAAATACAATTCAATATTTTCCATAGAACATATTTCACTCCATATAGATTAAGTAAATTTGACAACAGTATTTCTGACCAATGTCAACGATGCAAAATATCAACAGGTGATCTTGTTCACATGCTATGGAATTGTAATAAACTGCACTCTTATTGGCTATATGTGATCAATATTACTTCTAAGATATGTGGCCTACAGTTGGACCTTGATCCCAAAATCTGGATCCTAGGAGATGTAGCCTCACTGAAGTTGTCATCTGCAAGAAAATATTTTGTGCTTTTGGCAGCCACCGCGGCCAAAAAATGCATTCTCACCAATTAATGGTTACTTCCGGGTTTTTAGCGACCGCTTTTTGTCACATTAAAATAATAATTTTGTCACATAAACGTTGACAACAAATTCTGAAAACGTCCGTGCATGTTCTTAAGGATGTATATGTATACTGTACTGTCCGAATAACATTTAATGGCGTTGATTGATTGATATGTATTTGTTTATGGAGCGTGGCTAACTCGGCTAGCTCCGCTAGCTTCTCTGCACAGACAACTGTGTGCAGATGAGCTGCACTGTGTAGTGACCATAGACTGTATATATTAACGGACAGAGTCACGGCTATCTCCGCCGTTCTAACCGGTGGGGGAGGGTCCCAGCTCAAAAGTGGCCAAAATGAGGTGCGCTGACATGCTGCAATACCACCCCGGGCCGATGGGGGTGGACCCAGAAGTAGAATTAGCCAATGCTAACACATAGCATTGGCAGACCTCTGGAAAACGTCTTTACAGGATGGTCCAAAAGTTGGCTCTTGGCCCAAAGCTCCGTTCCACATGTGTGTCAATGCTGAGGGGGGTGTTTTGGTCCACTCTAGTTTACTCGCTGTGAATTTTTGAAGTCTCTCGTTCAAATGAATGGAGCTGCGCCGGCTGACACATGCGCAGATGCGTTTTTTCACAATTTTCTGGTGGGCGGGACCACTCGCGGCCATTTTGGATTGCTCCAGTAGAGCACATTTTTTGGCCCATTAGTTAGAACGGCGGAGCTAGGCGTGACTCTGTCCATTAATATATACAGTCTATGGTTCTAACTAATGGGCCAAAAAATGTGCTCTACTGGAGCTATCCAAAATGGCCGCGAGTGGTCCCGCCCACAAGAAAATTGCGAAAAAACGCATCTGCGCATGAGTCAGCCGGCGCAACTCCATTCATTTGAACGAGAAACTTCAATAATTCCCTGCGAGTAAACTAGAGTGGACCAAAACACTCCCTCAGCATTGACACACATGTGTAACGGAGCTTTGGACCAAGAGACAACTTTTGGTCCATCCTGTAAAGACGTTTTCCAGAGGTCTGCCAATGCTATATGTTAGCATTGGCTAATTCTTCTTCTGGGTCCACCCCCACAGGCCCGGGGTGGTATTGCAGCATGTCAGCGCACGTCATTTTGGCCACTTTTGAGCTGGGACCCTCCCCCACTGGATGAGAATAAGCACCTCCAAATCTGAGGCCATGGTGCTCGACTGGAAAAAGGTGCCTTGCCCTCTCCAGGTCCTGGTCCTCTCCAGGTGGGTGGAGAGGTCCTTCCTCAAGTGGAGGAGTTCAAGTATCTCGGGGTCTTGTTCACGAGTGAGGGAAGGATGGAGCGTGAGATTGACAGGCGGATCGGTGCAGCGTGCGCAGTGATGCGGTCGCTGTATCGGACCGTTGTGGTAAAGAGGGAGCAGCGTCTGCAGTCAGAGCTCTGTCAGACCGTTGTGGTAAAGAGGGAGCTGAGTCGAAAGACAAAGCTCTCAATTTACCGGTCAATCTTCGTTCCCTCCCTCACCTATGGTCATGAGCTTTGGGTAATGACCGAAAGAACGAGATCGCGGATACAAGCGGTCGAAATGAGCTTCCTCCGCAGAGTGGCTGCTCCCTTAGAGATAGGGTGAGGAGCTCAGTCACACGGGAGGAGCTCGGAGTAGAGCCGCTGCTTCTCCACGTTGAGAGGAACCAGTTGAGGTGGCTCGGGCATCTGTTCAGGATGCCTCCTGGACGCCTCCCTGGGGAGGTGTTTGGGGCACGTCCCACTGGGAGGAGGCCCCGGGGACTATGTATCTCAGCTGGCCTGGGAACGCCTTGGGGTCCCCCCGGACGAGCTGGAGGAGGTGTGTGTGGATAGGGAAGTCTGGGCGTCTCTGCTTAGACTGCTGCCCCCGCGACCCGGCAACGGATGAAGCGGAAGAAAATGGATGGATGGATGGATGAGAAGAAACTATTCGCACGGCGGGATCTTCTCCCCGAGGGAAGAGGCTGGAACAGGGCTGGTCCAGGATGGCCGGAGGATGGTTGACGTCTGCAGCCCCGCCCCCCAGTCTCGGCCACGCCCCGTAGCGAGTTGGAGAAGGAACAGCAGAGAGTATTTTCATCGATTGTCAGGTTTGTCATTAGTTTTAGCATTTAGGTAGATTTGTATTAGCTTAGCTGTTTGTATTATAGATCATTGTTTAGTGTTGATAGTGTTGTTGTTGAACATTGTAGTTTTAGTCACTATTGCTTTTATTGTCAAGTGTCAATCACAGCCTAGACCCGCCCAACATTCCTGCTTCTACTCGAGTACTACTGTAATCTATATATGTGCTGCTGCTACTCGAGTACTACTGTAATCTATATATGTGCTGCTGCTACTCGAGTACTACTGTAATCTATATATGCACTGCTGCTACTCGAGTACTACTGTAATCTATATATGGCAAGGCAAGTTTATTTGTATAGCACAATTCATACACGAGGCAACTCAAAGTGCTGAACAAAATAAGAAAAGCATTAAAATCATAAATAATCACAGAACATTAAAAAGAAAGTTAAAAATATAAAATCCCTCAGTTGTAGCACAGCTAAACAGAACTGTCTTTAACCTGGTTTTAAACATTGTCAGATAGGAGGCCTGTCTCACATCTTCAGGAACATTGTTCCAGATTTTAGCAGCATGAATCTGAAAAGCAGCCTCCCCATGTTTAGTTCTGACTCTGGGCACTAACAGGAGTCCAGTCCCTGTGCTCCTCAGAGTCCCAGCAGGAGTCCAGTCCCTGTGCTCCTCAGAGTCCCAGCAGGAGTCCAGTCCCTGTGCTCCTCAGAGTCCCAGCAGGAGTCCAGTCCCTGTGCTCCTCAGAGTCCCAGCAGGAGTCCAGTCCCTGTGCTCCTCAGAGTCCCAGCAGGAGTCCAGTCCCTGTGCTCCTCAGAGTCCCAGCAGGAGTCCAGTCCCTGTGCTCCTCAGAGTCCCAGCAGGAGTCCAGTCCCTGTGCTCCTCAGAGTCCCAGCAGGAGGCCAGTCCCTGTGCTCCTCAGAGTCCCAGCAGGAGGCCAGTCCCTGTGCTCCTCAGAGTCCCAGCAGGAGTCCAGTCCCTGTGCTCCTCAGAGTCCCAGCAGGAGTCCAGTCCCTGTGCTCCTCAGAGTCCGGGCTGGTTCATATGGGACTAACATGTCACTAATATATTTTGGTGCGAGGCCATGGAGAGACTTGTAACAAGCAGAGCTGTTTTAAAGTCTATTCTCTGAGCCACAGGAAGTCAGTGCAGAGACCTGAGGACTGGACTAATGTGGTCGTACTTCCTGGTTCTAGTCAGGACTAATGTGGTCGTACTTCCTGGTTCTAGTCAGGACTAATGCGGTCGTACTTCCTGGTTCTAGTCAGGACTAATGTGGTCGTTGTCACTCCCGGATTCGTCCCGGAAACCGGATTCGTCCGGAAGTTCAGTTTGCGCATGTCAAAAAGTTTAATATGTCCTTAAGTGGTGACTGGTTAAGTTTAGGCGTCTGATTAAGATGGTTAAGTTTAGGGTTAAGGCTGGGTTGGGGTTATTTTATGGGAATGGCTGGTTAAGTTTAGGCATGAATAGGTAGTTTTTTATATTTACTTCCGCTTCCGTCCAGATTCCGTGACGTAATCTACTGCTGCGTATGCTCATTGGATCAAACTGAACTTCCGGACGAATCCGGTTTCCGGGACGAATACGGGAGTGACAGTCGTACTTCCTGGTTCTAGTCAGGACTAATGTGGTCATACTTCCTGGTTCTAGTCAGGACTAATGTGGTCGTACTTCCTGGTTCTAGTCAGGACTAATATGGTCGTACTTCCTGGTTCTAGTCAGGACTAATGTGGTCGTACTTCCTGGTTCTAGTCAGGACTAATATGGTCGTACTTCCTGGTTCTAGTCAGGACTCGAGCTGCTGCATTTTGAATGTACTGCAGCTGTTTTACAGCCTGTTTGGACAGACCTGTGAGCAGGCCATTGCAGTAGTCTAACCTACTGGAGACAAATGCATGGATACGAATCTCCAAGTCTGCTTTCGACACTATGTTTTTGATCCTGGCAATGTTTTTTAGATGGTAAAAAGCTGCTGATGTTACTGATTTGATGTGGCTATTAAAATTTAAGTCTGAGTCCAGTATTACCCCTAGATTTCTGACCTTGTTTGAAGGTTTTAGGGAGAGAGACTGTAGGTGACAGATGATGCTCTCTCTTTGTTTCTGGGGACCAAAGACAATCATTTCAGTTTTGTTGCACTGCTGCTACTCGAGTACTACTGTAATCTATATATGTGCTGCTGCTACTCGAGTACTACTGTAATGTATGTGCTGCTACTACTCGAGTACTCCTGTAATAAATGTATGTGCTGCTGCTACTCGAGTACTACTGTAATGTACGTGCTGCTGCTACTCGAGTACTCCTGTAATTAATGTATGTGCTGCTGTCCCTGACTTCACGTGTTCAAGCATGACCTCAATTACAAGTTTGTCCAAACAGGAGATGGTGAAATTAAGAATGTCAACTACTTCCTGTTGTCCTCTTCTTTGGTGAGAACATGTGTTGTGTTCGAGTAAAGAAAGTTCTCATGTATGAAAATATTTATAATTACTGCAATTAACCTTTTCAAACACACCATGATGAAAAACCTGCACATAAATAAAGTAGCAGACCACATCTTAAGTTATACTTTTGGGCCTGGGCCTGCGGAGGAGGGATACGGCCCTGGGCCTGCGGAGGAGGGATACGGCCCTGGGCCTGTGGAGGAGGGATACGGCCCTGGGCCTGTGGAGGAGGGATACGGCCCTGGGCCTGTGGAGGAGGGATACAGCCCTGGGCCTGTGGAGGAGGGATACGGCCCTGGGCCTGTGGAGGAGGGATACGGCCCTGGGCCTGTGGAGGAGGGATACAGCCCTGGGCCTGTGGAGGAGGGATACGGCCCTGGGCCTGTGGAGGAGGGATACGGCCCTGGGCCTGTGGAGGAGGGATACGGCCCTGGGCCTGTGGAGGAGGGATACGGCCCTGGGCCTGTGGAGGAGGGATACGGCCCTGGGCCTGTGGAGGAGGGATACGGCCCTGGGCCTGCGGAGGAGGGATACGGCCCTGGGCCTGCGGAGGAGGGATACGGCCCTGGGCCTGCGGAGGAGGGATACGGCCCTGGGCCTGCGGAGGAGGGATACGGCCCTGGGCCTGCGGAGGAGGGATACGGCCCTGGGCCTGCGGAGGAGGGATACGGCCCTGGGCCTGCGGAGGAGGGATACGGCCCTGGGCCTGCGGAGGAGGGATACGGCCCTGGGCCTGCGGAGGAGGGATACGGCCCTGGGCCTGCGGAGGAGGGATACGGCCCTGGGCCTGTGGAGGAGGGATACCGGCCCTGGGCCTGTGGAGGAGGGATACGGCCCTGGGCCTGGGCCTGTGGAGGAGGGATACGGCCCTGGGCCTGTGGAGGAGGGATACGGCCCTGGGCCTGTGGAGGAGGGATACGGCCCTGGGCCTGGGCCTGTGGAGGAGGGATACGGCCCTGGGCCTGTGGAGGAGGGATACGGCCCTGGGCCTGTGGAGGAGGGATACGGCCCTGGGCCTGTGGAGGAGGGATACGGCCCTGGGCCTGTGGAGGAGGGATACGGCCCTGGGCCTGTGGAGGAGGGATACGGCCCTGGGCCTGTGGAGGAGGGATACGGCCCTGGGCCTGTGGAGGAGGGATACGGCCCTGGGCCTGTGGAGGAGGGATACGGCCCTGGGCCTGTGGAGGAGGGATACGGCCCTGGGCCTGCGGAGGAGGGATACGGCCCTGGGCCTGCGGAGGAGGATACGGCCCTGGGCCTGTGGAGGAGGGATACGGCCCTGGGCCTGTGGAGGAGGGATACGGCCCTGGGCCTGTGGAGGAGGGATACGGCCCTGGGCCTGTCAGGGTTAAACCAACTTCATCTGTTCAAACATAAACAGCTCAAACACATGTTGTTGGAGGAAACATCATCTTTACACCGACCTCAGGGGGACGTGGTTAAACCATGAACTTGTGTCTGTGTGTGTGTGTTTGTCTATGTGTGTGTGTGTGTCTGTGTATGTGTGTGTGTGTGTGTGTGTGTGTCTGTCTATGTGTGTGTGTGTCTGTCTATGTGTGTGTGTGTGTGTCTGTGTGTGTGTGTGTGTCTGTGTATGTGTGTGTGTGTGTGTGTGTGTGTGTGTGTCTGTCTATGTGTGTGTGTGTCTGTCTATGTGTGTGTGTGTGTGTCTGTGTGTGTTTGTCTATGTGTGTGTGTGTGTTTGTCTGTGTGTGTTTGTCTATGTGTGTGTGTGTGTGTTTGTCTGTGTGTGTGTGTGTTTGTCTATGTGTGTGTGTGTGTGTGTGTGTTTGTCTATGTGTCTGTGTATGTGTGTGTGTGTGTGTTTGTCTGTGTGTGTGTTTGTCTATGTGTGTGTGTGTGTGTGTGCCTGTGTGTGTGTGTGTGATTTTCATAAATCATTGTTGTTTTGATCATAAATGTGTAATATATCATATACAGGACACAGTGATGTTTGTGAAATAACATTTATTTCATTTACAGAAAGAGTGACTTAAACCTGAACAACAACAAACCACTTTAGGGTTAAAGCTGTGAGACAAACTCACAGAGACATTTTGTCACAAATGAATGACAGAGAATCTGTTGCAGAAGCCGGTCTGTTCCTGTTTCCTCTCTACATCCATGAGCTGTGGAGCGGGGCCTCGTCCACTGAGCTGTTCCTGACCCACATCCAGGCTCTGACCACTGAGAGCCCCCAGGGAAGAAGAGGCCCCCAGGGCCCCAGGGGCCCGAGTCTGCCCTCAGAGCCATCTGTAACCACATCAAAACATCCTCACAATAAGTCATTTATAATGTTGCCTTGTTTTGTAAAGTGTGTTCTTGTGGTGTCAGAGTTTATGTTTTTTAACCCATGATACATGCTACATGCTACATGCTACACGCTACATGCTAAATGCTACATGCTACACGCTACATGCTACATGCTACACGCTACATGATACATGCTACATGCTACATGCTACACCCATGTTATGAGTTCAGGCCATGATTTACTTTTCAACCACAGATGTATGTAATGTATCAGACGAACGCTCAGAGACCCTTCACAGCATTATTCAATCCCTCCAAACAGCCATTTTCAGCCACAGCTGCCCTGGGGCACACTGCCAGAAGCGAGGCAACCAGTCTGTGCCATCGGCCCCTCCCACCACCACCAACCATTCACACACACACCAGACTCATTCTAATGTGGGTGAAGTGTCTTGCCTAAGGACACAACCACAGTTTGGCACTTTACAGCCGCAGCCGCCCCACTGTGGCACCTGCTGTTCCCAGAGGTCTCCCATCACAGCACTAACCAGGCCCTGCCCTGCTTAGCTCCAGAAGTCTGAGGGATCTGACTTTCACCTGCAGGTGGTGCCACATGTATTTAATTATCTGTAATAAAATCTTTTGGTTCTGGCTCTAGTTTGACATTTAAAGTGACAAAGAGAGAATCAGCCAATCAGCTCTCAGCCAATCAGCTCTCAGCCAATCAGCTCTCAGCCAATCAGCTCTCAGCCAATCAGCTCTCAGCCAATCAGCTCCCAGCCAATCAGCTCCCAGCCAATCAGCTCTCAGCTAATCAGCTCTCAGCCAATCAGCTCCCAGCCAATCAGCTCTCAGCCAATCAGCTCTCAGCCCAAACAGTCAGTGACTCGCAGGGCTCTTTCTTAAACAAAAATGACATGTTTTGTAATAATATAAAGACATGTTTTGGTCTGTTCCTAAAACTCTGGAACACAAAGTTAGAGCTGAGCTTTAACTTCACCTGGAGCAGAGGATCAGGAGCGAGGTGTGTTTGGGACCATGTTATTTCTGAAAATAAAGATCACATTTCAGACTCAGATTCAGATTCATTTATTGTCCATTTGCAGTAAAACCACATTGGACACAGTTGTAAAAGTCCCCAGAGTGCACCAGACAAGTACAGACATAAAACAAGATCATTTTTATAAACCAGTCGGTAACTGTAGATTTTCAGGTTCAAAGAAACAAATAAGTCTTGAATCTAAGTGTTTACAAAGATAATATTGATTTATCTGAGGTTTAATGTTGTTAAAACCATCAACAGATCAAGACATTTCCACCTCCTCTGGGACTGGGCAAAGAGCGCCCCTAGTGGCCAGAGGTGATAAAAGCCACAGAATATTTAGCCTTGATGAGACTTTTGGTTTTAAGGAAGTGTGTTTGGGAAACTTTCCACAGTCTCAGTCAGTTCTGCTGCAAAGACCATGAACACAGAAGGTTCTGTGGAGAAGCCTCTGGTCTGGACACATCCTGGAGCTTCACCAAACACTTCAATCTGACACTTTCCAGAAACAAGAGCAACAAATACTGAGAAAATCTCATGAAAATGTAATCTGAGTAAAACTATTAATGACACTTTAAATCTGAAGTTTACATGCGTCATATGATGCTCTGTATTTACATTATGTTTTATTGTTTTTACTTTATGTGTAATTTAACTAAAATCTTACAAAATAAAGTATTAAAAACAACTCACTTTGTTCCGATCTTTGAGACAAGGTTCAGACTCACAAACAGGAATCCCACAAACACGGACAGAACCATCCAGAAGATTATAGCCATCAGGTCTGAAGCAAAACACCATCAAAATAAATAAGAACATAATAAGAACATAATAAGAAGATAAATAAATGGTTACATTTGTTGAAGCTGAGTTTAGTCTCGTCGACCGTCACTGGATCCACATAATCGTAATAATACTCCCACAGCTCTGTGGCGTCTGTGGCGTTCTCCATGAGGAGAGTCTGAGAGGAACTGAGGCTGTTACTGACCTGCAGGGGCGGAGCTACACAGGGAGGGGCGGGGCTACAGGCATCAGCTTCTCTGCTCCTTGTTTGAACAAACTTTCCCTGGGATGCACACTTCACATGGTGGAATAGGCTTCTCCATTTTACCTTTAATAGACATACCTCTAACCACTTTTGGTAGCTTTTGTACGTCTTCATGATTACAATGTCCAAGTATTTCATGCCATGTCTGTAGATCAAAACACCCATTAAGTGTATCCTTACCTCCTATTGCTGTAGCGAGGTAGTACAGTTTATTTTTCACACTGATTGGAAAAACAGTACCGTCTCTGTGAATGAGGGAGTTCTTCCCCTCCTTGAAGACCATCGTTGCCCCACTAGATGTGGCTGCCTTCACAGAAAAGATGTTCTGTGGGTATGACGGGATGAACAGTGCTCCCCTCAGTGTTGCTGCATGGCGCTGACCACTGCTGTCGATCAGGAACACCTCAGCATCACCCCGCTGCTTGGCCACTCCCTGGCACCTGGTTCCATCTGCGAGCTCCACACAGTGGGTCTCCGATCTGAAGTTCTCATCGAAGCTTCTGAACATCGACTCCTCGGTAATGATGTGGGACGTTGCTCTAGTGTCGACCATCAGTCCCCTCTTGACACGTCCTTCTGGGTGACTCTCCACGTCTTGGGTCAGGAAAGCATAAGCGGTGCTCTCCTCCTCAGCGACTTGTCTTATATTATCTTGTCGGCGCCGTCTGCAGTTTGCGTCCTTGTGTGTCGCACTTTTACAAAAACTGCACCACTGCCTGCGCTGACACGTTCTGGCTTTGTGTCCTTTTGTGCCGCATTTAAAACAATGTTCGTAGCGGTGTTGTTTTCGTGCCAGTCAGACGCTTTGGCTTTTATCTTCATTACGTTATCTTCAGCTGAATGTACACACATTTTCACCGTGTCTTCAAATGACCGTAACTTCACTTTAAAGTCTGAAAACTGTAATGTGTCGTCACTTTGGGTTATATGTATGGCGAACGGCCTGAATGACTCCGGTAGTCCTTTTAACACCATTGCAATTAGAAAATCATCACTCATTGTTTCACCAGCGCCCCGTAGCGCTGTTATGATAGTCTCTGTACGTATAACATACTCCGTTACACTTTCACTGCTCGCTTTTTGGAGATTGGTCAATTCCGTGTAAAGGCTGATAATACGTGGCTTTCCTTTACCAGCATAATATGCGCGTAAAATCTTCAACGCTTGTCTCCCATCATCAGGGGCTTCTCTCATGACCAAACTCAAACTTTTGTCGTCGAGAAACTGGATTAATTCAGAATAAGCTTCGGCATTTTTATCATCGAAGTCTTCATCGTCTTCACCAACACCCAATATGGTGGGTTTGAGTTTTTGCAAATGCAAATGTCCCAAAAACTTGGTTTCCCACAGTTCGTATCCCTTTTCGTCTCCGTCGAAGACCAGGCGGGACCATCTACCTGTACGCTCCATTCTGTCTTTGGGCGTTAGCCGTTAGCACCGGGTTAGCACTTACTGAGCTCGCAGTTCGTCGCGACTTTTACTTCTCAGCGTCCTCCAGTCTCTCTCTGAGGCTTCCTGGGCCCATAACCTGTTGTCAGAATTTGCTACGCAGCAGCCCAGTGTGAGCCTCCTTTAGCACTGTGCGAGAAAAAGACGAGCAGTCCACACAGATTCATTTCACACAAGCAAGGTGCCATGGTTTATTTAGGGCGGGGTTAAATAAGGTCCGGCCGTGACGTCATCAATCAATAAACAAATAATGCATTCAGAGCATAACAGAAAATACAATACAATTAACAGGTCCGATACAGCTCTGACTGCAGACGCTGCTCCCTCTTTACCACAACGGTCCGATACAGCGACCGCATTTGGAGAGTATAGGCATTTGGTCAATTCCATTACTACGGACGTTTTCCCACAATATTTAAAAAAAAATTGTCTGGAAAAAAACCAATGACTGCATCTTTAACAGCTGCACTTTGTCCACAGACAAGTGGACAAAGTGTTACGTCCAAAACACCAGTTTGTCTGCACTTATTGAATCATATTTTTTACATAATGTATAATTATAGATTGCTTGTAGTTTTATCCACAAACATTAGACGTGATGTGTCCCCAAAGTTCAATACCATTTACCAAGGCATCATTTTTATTATCTTATGTTAATTCATAATTTAAGATGAAGCTGAGATCTCAGCTCCTGTGGACTCAGCACCTGCAGGAGGATCAGTGAGGGGCTGGTGCTCTGTGGACTGGCTGCAGCTCTGACTGCCACCCCCCCGACCCAGAAATGGATTAAGTGGAAGAAAATGGATGGATGGATGGAATTCATAACATCACTAAACTAAAGCCATGTATTAATAAGGGCTTTAAACTTTTTCTATACCCATTGAGTGCCTCAGTTTTCTCCTTCATGATTTTGATCCTCAAAGCACCTGGGAGAAGCATTTTAATTACACAATACATTCGTGTAGCAATCCAGTAACCTTGCTTTTTGAAATTAAAAACTACATAGTATTAAAGATTTATGAGGTGCAGACATTTTTGGTTCATACATTTATTTAATTGCTGCATGAAGTCGGATTGATGCATTGTACAGTTTAGTGAGGACTGTGCCTTTTTTATATACGTTTATTATACTTTGACTTGTTCTTGCAGGTGACAACATATTGACGGCCGTGAATGTTGCCAAAACCTGTGGGATGGTTGAATCTGATGAAAGAGTGATATTTGTCAAAGCTTCCCCCCGCACTGCGCAGGCCCTCCCCAGCCTCAGGTTCAGTCTGGGGGCTGAGGGCTCTGCTCAGGACACCGTGGAAGTCTTCACCCATGTAGGTCCACACAAGGAATACCACAGCCATCCACTCAACACTAAATATCAGCATTACAAAAAACACATCTGTTTTGGCTTCAGTAGGTTCCTCCTGCACTACAGCGAATAATGAATGGAAACTTAGACTCTGGTTAGTTGTATAACAAGCAGAGAGGTTTTATACATGTATTACAGATAACATACAAATTACAGCAGGTATTAAAGAGTTCCGTCTAGGTGACGGATTTCCGTCAAATGAAATTGGTCTGGAAAAAAAAAAAATATATATATATATATATATATAATGATAATAATACACACAATGAAATGATTTATAAAAATAATATATAGTAATACATATACGTGTGAATCTGTTATATATATATATATATATATATATCGATGTATAATAATAATTTGAATATAATTGTATTTACATGTATATAGAAATAATAAGTAATATAATGACGAGTGGGCCTTGAACGTGCCGTGGCCACGTGAGCGCTCCGCAAATGAATCAAGGCAATGGGACGTAGCTGAGCTCACGCGCAAATGAAGAGGCGAGGAAGTTAGCATTGGTAACACGGAGGTGCAAGTTTCTGGAAACTGCACGGAGCTTTTGAAAAGGAGAAGAGGAGGAAAATTGAATCTCGAACGGAGCAATAACAGCAGCAGATCCGCGGACTGGTAAGCTGGGCGCGTAATAGACGAAAGGTAATTAACGTTTACCAAACGCAATGCTATTTTACTTAACGGAATGTACAAAACGGACTTTGCTGCGACTGGGAATGGGGACAAACATGTCTTGGTGAGCTTTTGATATTGTCTTGTTTGCGATCTTCTTGCAAAACTCAGCGTGATGTAAAAGAGCCAATCAATGAGTCATGGTGCGAAAAGATGAAAGTGGCCGGTGCTTGTGCGTACTTTGCTATAAAAAATTGCATGTATGGGAGTAATGAGAAAAAAAGTTTTGATTCGCCACCAGCTCAAAACTGCGCACAAGGCAGCTGTTTGTGCACTTTACCACACTTCATCTTTACCTGGTGCATCAGCAACAACTGACACTAGGCTTGCTCTGGCGGACCGTGTCTGTGGCTTTATCGCAGAAAATAACGTTCAGAATATCACTACCGCTGGTAGATTTATTTAAATCATTTGCAGTTGATCGAAGTGCACTGTGCACTCAAACTTGATAGGGAAACCTTTTTCTTAAATATTAACGTGTCCACAAACAAATGTGGACAGAATTTTATCGTCCTTTTGCAATATTTTGACGAGGACAGAGCCAAAGTGTTGACGCTCCTTATCGCCTCAAGTAAAGCTACTCTCACTAATATTCTGTCAAAAAGTTTACTCGTTGCTTGATCCACTTATATTTCATATCAAAATACACTGTATATCTTTGAAGAATTCATTTGAGCTGTATTCAATATACAATCTATTATACAATAATATATTGTAATTACAAATATAACTTGGTCCTGCATATTACTGTGATTTACATGTGATAAATTTCCATGCGAAAATTTTCAGTCAAATCTTTTTTTTTTTGCTTTAACCCCTGAATTACAGACTAACCTAGCCTGGGCCCTAGCTTGAAGATGACAATAGTATCTGGAAAGGGTGCTCGGGGGATTCTCGCGGTACTTCAGACTAAATTCATGTGCACTACACAGAAATTTTCCCCATAGAACTCGTTCATCATTCATTCATTAATTTTCTACTCCTTTATAAGTCCATTTCTGGGTCGGGGGTTACGGGCTCATAGCACCAGTCCCTGATCCTCTTGCGGGGGGTGAGTCCACAGGAAGATGGCTGCTACGTCAGTGGTGAAAACTGTGAAAAAAAAGATTTTGGCTGCATAGATGTCCCTGAGGCCAGTCCCTGAGGCCAGTCCCTGAGGCCAGTCCCTGAGGCCAGTCCCTGAGGCCAGTCCCTGAGGCCAGTCCCTGAGGCCAGTCCCTGAGGCCAGTCCCTGAGGCCAGTCCCTGAGGCCAGTGCCTGAGGCCAGTCCCTGAGGCCAGTGCCTGAGGCCAGTCCCTGAGGCCAGTGCCTGAGGCCAGTCCCTGAGGCCAGTCCCTGAGCCAGTCCCTGAGGCCAGTCCCTGAGGCCAGTCCCTGAGGCCAGTCCCCTGAGGCCAGTCCCTGAGGCCAGTCCCTGAGGCCAGTCCCTGAGGCCAGTCCCTGAGGCCAGTCCCTGAGGCCAGTCCCTGAGGCCAGTCCCTGAGGCCAGTCCCTGAGGCCAGTCCCTGAGGCCAGTCCCTGAGGCCAGTCCCTGAGGCCAGTCCCTGAGGCCAGTCCCTGAGGCCAGTCCCTGAGGCCAGTCCCTGAGGCCAGTCCCTGAGGCGCCAGTCCCTGAGGCGGCCAGTCCCTGAGGCGGCCAGTCCCTGAGGCGGCCAGTCCCTGAGGCGGCCAGTCCCTGAGGCGGCCAGTCCCTGAGGCGGCCAGTCCCTGAGGCGGCCAGTCCCTGAGGCGGCCAGTCCCTGAGGCGGCCAGTCCCTGAGGCGGCCAGTCCCTGAGGCGGCCAGTCCCTGAGGCGGCCAGTCCCTGAGGCGGCCAGTCCCTGAGGCCAGTCCCTGAGGCCAGTCCCTGAGGCCAGTCCCTGAGGCCAGTCCCTGAGGCGGCCAGTCCCTGAGGCGGCCAGTCCCTAAGGCCCGACCCCGAGCTCCTTAAGAGTCCATGTTGTTTCTTTCTTTGATTCTTCTGTGACCTAACTACATACATTTTTAAATAACACACAATGTATGTGCAACACAATGTTATCATTGCGGCCAGTCCCTGAGGCGGCCAGTCCCTGAGGCCAGTCCCTGAGGCGGCCAGTCCCTGAGGCCAGTCCCTGAGGCCAGTCCCTGAGGCCAGTCCCTGAGGCCAGTCCCTGAGGCCAGTCCCTGAGGCCAGTCCCTGAGGCCAGTCCCTGAGGCCAGTCCCTGAGGCCAGTCCCTGAGGCCAGTCCCTGAGGCCAGTCCCTGAGGCCAGTCCCTGAGGCCAGTCCCTGAGGCCAGTCCCTGAGGCCAGTCCCTGAGGCCAGTCCCTGAGGCCAGTCCCTGAGGCCAGTCCCTGAGGCCAGTCCCTGAGGCCAGGCCCTGAGGCCAGGCCCTGAGGCGGCCAGTCCCTGAGGCGGCCAGTCCCTGAGGCCAGTCCCTGAGGCCAGTCCCTGAGGCCAGTCCCTGAGGCCAGTCTCTGAGGCCAGTCTCTGAGGCCAGTCCCTGAGGCCAGTCCCTGAGGCCAGTCCCTGAGGCGGCCAGTCCCTGAGGCGGCCAGTCCCTGAGGCGGCCAGTCCCTGAGGCGGCCAGTCCCTAAGGCCCGACCCCGAGCTCCTTAAGAGTCCATGTTGTTTCTTTCTTTGATTCTTCTGTGACCTAACTACATACATTTTTAAATAACACACAATGTATGTGCAACACAATGTTATCATTGTGTAAGTAAGTAATTTTTACTGAGTATTTTGGTTTTGTCAGGGCCTCTATCAAAGTGGATTCACCTATCATTTGGCCATCAATGGAAAATCTTTTGCTGCTCTTTGTGACTACTTTCCAGACCACCTTCCAAAGGTAAGGGCGTATTGTTGAAAAAGATATTAGAAATATGAGGTGAGCTCACAGTCTTGCTTCACAGGTTTTGATGAGGACCACGGTTTTTGCTCGCATGGCTCCAGAGCAAAAGACCCAGCTGGTGAAAGAACTGCGGAAACTCAAGTGAGTCACAGTTCTTAAGGGGCGTTCACACCGGACTTAACTTCGGCGTCAAAAGCGTCAGGTTTCCATTGAAAGTGAATGGTGAAGCGCGTCAGGTGAAGCCGAGAGCCCCGGCGTCACTTGACGCGCGTCAAAAGCTTCAAGAGTCGCGCGTAATACGCGCTCACTTGAAGCTTTTGACGCGCGAAACGCTCGCGTATCACAACAATCCCTCTGACGCCGAAGCTGAGCAAAGCTGAGCTTTTGAAGCTTTGACGCGGGCTTCAACCAATCAGGAGACGAGGAGCAGCAGCAGCAGAGGGTCTGTCTCTGTCATGAAGAGAAGTCATGCTGCTGCTGTTTTATTGTCATTATTGTTATTAGTAATATTATTTGTATGAGTAGTAACGTTCTGAGTAACAAAATCATTGTACACATGCTGTGTAGTAAACGTAGTTTATTTAAAATAAGAACAGGCTGACGATGAGTCTGGCTCAGAGCAAGGCAGCTCCGGGCGGGCGAGAGCCGGGGAGAGGCAGGGAGAGGCGAGCGAGAACCGAGGAGAGGCAGGGAGAGGCAGGGAGAGGCAGGGAGAGGCGAGAGCCGGGGTTTGAGAACTCAGACTGGGCAAGTGACATGCGGAAGTACCGCTGAAAGCGAAACTCCTCCGTACGCAGCTCCTGGAGTAAATGACGGAACTCTGCAAACACTGCAGCCTCTCAAGTCTGTGGTGAACCCAGAACATGTTTTGTTGAAGCCCTACAACAACGTTATTTTGCTTTATATAACAAATAAAGGCTCGCTGCTCATTGAAAAATCCACCGCTGTCCTGACTACAGGCAACAGAGAAGCTCCTCCCACCGGCGTCAGGCGCGTCACTCGCGTCAAAAGCTTCAAGCACCAAAATGACAAAACTATCCCGGCGTCAGTTGAAGCGCGTCAAAAGCTTTTTGAAGCTTTTGGTCTGAACGCGCCTTTACAGTCATAGAGTTTCTAATCGGGAGAGACAGATGTAAGTTGGGAGAGAAACGAGAAGGGCCAAGGGAGTGGAGGATCAGCGTAACAAACCTCTGTGATCGCACAGAGGTTTGAACTTCTGTCACACTGCCTCTTTTTGCCTTGTTTCATTAAAGAGCGACTAAACACACCTGAACCTAAGACACTGAATTATCTCAACAGCAGTGTCTGTCAACTCATGTAATTTAATTCTAATCCACTAGATGTCGCCAGAATACTCCAACCTGCTGCTGGGGCGTGTGTGAGAGTTGGATGGGTTTATATCACTGGTGCAGACAGACGCACGTCACACACACCGACTGACCCAACTGACGTCACACACACCGACTGACGTCACACACACCGACTGACGTCACACACACCGACTGACGTCACACACACACACACCGACTGACGTCACACACACACACACCGACTGACGTCACACACACACACACCGACTGACGTCACACACACACACACCGACTGACGTCACACACACACACACCGACTGACGCCTCACACACACACCGACTGACGTCTCACACACACACCGACTGACGTCTCACACACACACCGACTGACGTCTCACACACACACCAACTGACGTCTCACACACACACCAACTGACGTCTCACACACACCAACTGACGTCTCACACACACACCAACTGACGTCTCACACACACCAACTGACGTCTCACACACACCAACTGACCTCTCACACACACACCAACTGACGTCTCACACACCAACTGACGTCAAGCGCACACACCAACTGACGTCACACGCACACCAACTGACGTCACACACACACCTGAATGACTTTGGACACGTTGACTTATTTCTTGAGGAAAACGGAAAAAACGTCAAGGGTTCCTCAGCTGATGATCCGCAGAAATTTGTTTTTTACGCAAAATTGAATTATAAAATTTCAGACTCGGAGCATCAAAATTAAAAACTAACCCTGTACTATTTTCAAAAAATATTTTTTTGTTACCCAGTGTTCTATGCTCAAAAGTGAGATTTTATCTAATTTGCACTAAAATGTCAAAAAAATGGCCAGATTTTGTAAAGAGCACTACAATTAACATACTCATGCAGTTAAAAAAAGTTTTTGTTGTTTAGTCGCTCTTTAAAGTCAATAATAAAACGCATACATAGTGAGATGGCTCCTCTGACACCCGTCTCTCTCCCTTGTGTCTTTGGATTAGGTATAGAGTGGGTATGTGTGGAGATGGGGCCAACGACTGCGGGGCTTTGAGAGCTGCCGACGTGGGGATTTCCCTGTCGGAGGCCGAGGCGTCTGTGGCTTCACCGTTCACCTCAAAGATCCAGAACATAAGCTGTGTCCCGCTGCTCATAAGGTCAGTGAAGCCCCAGGGTGTGCCGATGAGGAGCGAGATCATGGTGTGGCTGAAGGTGTGTGTTTGTGCAGGGAAGGCCGGGGGTCTCTGGTCACATCCTTCAGTCTCTTCAGATACATCGCTCTGTACAGCCTCATCCAGTTCTGCTCTGTCCTCATTCTCTACACGGCAAGTTCTATTTTGTTATTTTTTTGTCAAGTTTAAAGTTTGGTTGTATGACGCATGTAGTGTTTTCAATTATAGATTTTTCTATATAAAAAAGAGAAATTAAAAACACAAAACACAGAGTTAAAGATGCAGATTTTTTCCAGACGCATTTTTTTAAATATTGTGAGAAAACGTCCCTAAACCCTAAAAATATCAAGTTATCATGTGTTTTCAAATAGTAATGGAATTGAACAGATGTCTATAGTCTACAAAAAATAATGAGATATTTTGGAGCTGACCGATAAAAATAAACCAATGCGATATGTTTACCGCCTTCACCCTCTTCCTGTTTCTCACGAGTGCATCGGAGTTTTCTGATTTTCTAAAATCTAAAATGGCTGAACAGAAAATGCCAATTTCACGTTTGCTTCACTCTCCCTGTTGTGACAAAGAAAAGAAAATGCTGGATGTTTGGTTTGGTGGAGGGGGAGGGGGAGTGGTTCCCAGTTGGTGCTACGGCTAAGCTAACGCCACTTACTGCACCTTTTAGTAAGTAAGTAAATTTTATTGATAGAGCACCTTTCACAGATAAAAATCACAAAGTGCTGTACAAGGCAGAAGCAGATATGTACAGTATATACAAAAATAGAAAATAACATAAAAACAAGACATTACCCAAAAGCTGCCCTAAAAGAAGTGTCTTTAGTCCCTTTTGAAAAGCATTGGCAGAGTTGACCACACGGAGGGACAGAGGCAAAGCGTTCCAAAGTCTGGGGCCCACGGACTGGAAGGACCGCAAGCAAATTCTGGCTTGTGGACCTAAGAGTGCGGCCAGAACAGTGTCTGGTCAAGAGGTCCGAGATGTGATGTGAGACCACCGGGGTGCGGGGTGATGTGAGACCACCGGGGGTTCCTCTTAAAAGTCTGGCAGTTTTGCACAATTTGTAGTCTGTTAAGAGCACTCTTATTAAGACAAGTAAACAATGAATTTGCAGTAGTCGAGACGTGTAGAAACAAAGGCATGAATGATGATCTCAAAGTCCTTCTGTGACAATATTTTTCGAATTTTGGACATGTTTTTGAGATGATAAAAGCAACGAGCTGTTTAGAGTGTGTGTCCAGATTCAGTGCCTGATCAGAAACAACCCCCAGGTTTCTGAGGATGAATGTGACAGCTTTAAAGCTGCTGTTGTGGAAATTCTGCACATAACGAGAGTAAAATAATGTAAACAACTCAGAGCTGTAATTCCAAACAGTGCGAGTTTATTCATTAGTAAATGTGTACAATTACAATGAATAACAGAACCGATACCAATACCACCTGGCAGCCCTCTGAAACCAACTGCCACGATTGAGGAAATTACTGTACATTAAATAGACCAGAGTAAACAAACACATATCTACTCTAGATATTACATAGATGAAGTCAACATTGATACGTGTTGCTCAAGGCTTCACTTTACGCGTCCTAACGCTGATACAACTCTATGAACATAGTCTATCTAACATATTGTTCTATGACCCAGGTCAAAGACATGATGCAGCACGTCTCCATCTATCACTGACCTGAGCCAACAGAGCATTATGGCCTGTATCTGAATCCAGAGTTGACTATTAGTTAATAACTTACTCATAACTATTTGGTGTTCATTCAGATTGCTTTACTAAAATATTTCTATAACACTGCTAAAATGTGTTTTAAATGACTGTTGTCGTATGTTTGTGTGTCCAGTTGAAGACCAACCTGGCAGACCTGCAGTTTCTGTTCTTTGACTTGGTTCTTGTCACTGTTCTGGCAATTGTAATGGGAAAAGGAGGCCCAAGCAATGAGCTCCATACGACCAGACCACCTGCTAGTTTATGGTCTCTTCCGGTCTTGGGGAGCCTTCTCATCCACACTTTTCTCATCATTCTGGCACAGTCAGGAGCAATTCTCTTCACTAGAGCACAGGATTGGTGAGTACAAAGTCAAAACGGACTGACTGGAGTTCTCAGTAAGAGCAGTATGTAAAAATGTGGCCAAAAGTGGTACTGCAGCCTCTCCCACTCTCCCTGACTCAGGTTGCCAGATATGCAGACGAATCCAGCTGGGACCATAACAGCTGAATAGACAAGAGTTTTGTCAACAACAAATCTATAACCAACACCTTTTTCACAAAGATAGAAATCCTGCTTTTATTCTTGTTTTGTCGTTAATGATTTGAGAATCATAACAAGACCCTTTTTAGTTCTGCGCCACATGGTACTTTACCAGTGAGATCACAGACTTTCTGATTGGTAAAACGGTGGAGGGCGGGACATTGAAATGAAAACAATAACAAGATTTAGCGGCTGGAAAAGTAATTTAGAAATTCAAATATCTCTGAACGACTGTTATCAGTTAAAGAAGTATTGGAAAAGAGCAGGTTTTATTAATGCCTTTGGACGGAGTAGGGCCCTTTAAAGGACAACTCACCCTCAAATCCACTTTTTTTTGCTGATAAACGGTATAAATGAGTGTCCAATAGTGTTGTCTACATATCCTGGTCATAATCTTGTCACTTTGGTGCAAATTAGTTGAAAGTTAGACTTTCTGCCTAAAACCGTCTGTGAGGCGCCATCTGCTGGCGACCTGTATTACTACATTTGAATTTTGAATCTGGCGCCAACACTGGCACAGAAGTTGGACCTGACGTCTGCAAGTTGGACCTGACGTCAGCAGCCCCCCGCCCAGAGCAATGTAAAAGGCCCAGTCTCGTTCACGCCCCCTTTAGTCCTCCAGGCTACGCCCATTTAGAGGAAGATTTGAACAGGAAATGTGAGTAACGTAAGCTCCGAGGAGCGGGGGTGAGAACCACTTTAATGATGACAGATTAGGGCCCTTTAATGATGACAGATTAGGGCCCTTTAATGATGACAGATTAGGGCCCTTTAATGATGACAGATTAGGGCCCTTTAATTATGACAGATTAGGGCCCTTTAATGATGACAGATTAGGGCCCTTTAATGATGACAGATTAGGGCCCTTTAATGATGACAGATTAGGGCCCTAATGAATACTTGACGTGAATATCCTAAACATTGCTACTTGAAGCTGAATTGTGTACCATTCATAGGTACGTCCCACTCAATGGAACTCTGCCCGGGGAAGACAACTGGCCCAACATCGAGGACACCTGTCTGTTCGCGGTGTCTGGATTCCAGTACATCTTTATAGCTGTCGTTGTTACAAAAGCTCATCCTCACAAGAAACCTCTTTACTATAACGGTGAGATTTTCCTTTGACATAGAGATAGATACTTTATTGTTCAGGTGTCCAGTAGCAGCAAAAATAAAAAGTTGACAATAGTAATAAAATACATCAGTCCTTCAGGTCTCAGCAGCAGAGGTGGAGCCGCTTTGGTTCAGACCATTTTCTCTGCTCTGGTCCAAAGTAAAATGCTAAATGATTTATTAGCATTTTTTATAAAGGTAGCATTCCTCCAGTGGATTTTCTCCTGATCCTCTTGGTTAGGACCATGAATCCTCTCTGCTCTGGTCTGGACTAGTGTAAAACCATGAACACTGAACTGCAGCAACATCTCAGGCAGAAAAAACCAATACAAATAAAATTTGGAGAGCACAAAACAACTGTTTCAGGGACACTTAGGACTCGCAGCCGTTATCAGAACATTCAAAAGTTAAACGATATAATAGACATAGAAGCAGAGATGAAGTGTATTGTATGTGTTTGATAGTCCTGTGTGGTGTGTGCAGTGTGGTTCCTGGTGCTGCTCGTGCTCTTCTCTGGGCTCATGGCGTGGCTGGTCATGTACCCTCTGCCTTTCATGAGACGTTTCTTGTCTCTCTACAACATCGAGGACTTGAGCTACAAGTTTGTGCTTGTTGGTTTGTCCGCGTTGAACTTCTTCACCTGTTTGATGATGGAGGTATGTGGCAGCCTAACCCTAAATATGCTAATTCATTTGTATCATGGGGCGACAGTGGCTCAGTGTGTAGAGTATTGGCCTTTGAGCCTGAAGGTTGTGAGTTCGAGCCCACTGTAAGACTTACTCCACCGACTTTCACTGATGTCTGCTGTCATTGTGTCCTTGGGCAAGACACTTAAAGGTGCAGTAGGCGATGTTGTTAGCTTGGCTGTAGCACCAACTCCAAACCACTCCCCCCTCCCCTCCCTCTCCACCAAACCAAACATCCAGCATTTTCTTTTCTTTGTCACAACAGGGAGAGTGGGAGGTAAACCTGAAATTGGCATTTTCTGTTCAGCCATTTCGGGTCCCAGCTCATGGCCCTCACTGGTATGAACAAATCCCATTGTTTTGTTTTTTTATCGGTCCGCTCCAAAATATTTTTCATACATTTTTCCCACAATATTTTAAAAAAGCGTCTGGAAAAAATCACTGACTGTATCTTTAACCTCTGGGAACACCAGCCACAGTGGGGCGGCTGCGGCTGTAAAGTGCCAAACTGCCGTTGTGTCCTTAAGCAAGACACTTCATCCCCATTGCCTAGAATGAGTCTGGTGTGTGTGTGAATGGTTGGTGGTGGTGGGAGGGGCTGATGGCACAGACTGGTTGCCTCGCTTCTGTCAGTGTGCCCCAGGGCAGCTGTGGCTACTGTAGTGGTTTATCACCATCGTGTTTGGAGAGAAAAAAAGCGTTGTATAAAACATTTTGTATTTTTATTATTATCCCAGAAAGACTATCAGTTTGAACACTTTCCTTGCTATGTTCCAGATGCTGGTAGACATGGGCCTTCTAAACTGTCTGCGTCTGCTGCGAGGGAGACGTCCATCTAAGAAACCATACAAACGGCTGGAGACTGCGCTCTTAGACTCTCCATCATGGCCCCCGCTGAACCAAACCCTGTCCCCCCGCCACACTAACATCCGTCTGGGCTAGCCTTCACACTACACACCCATGGACTATTGTACTGGTGTCACCAAACTGGCCTGGCACAGACAGTCATAATGTAAATAAAGATATTTTTATATATTTTGTGTGGAGTTTGTTTGTCCCTGTCCCTGGGCAGTCATGTTTATTGACTTTTTTTTTTTTTTTATCATCCATTTACAACCTTTTTACAATACTCACATCATTCAAACTCAAAAAGGAGTGGGAGGAAGAAAAAAAAAGTTTAAATTCCCACAACTGTGCACATGACACTTACACCCGTGTGTTCGCAGCCAGTAGCAAAGTAGTGCGCAACAAGTAGTGCCCTCAGCCAATCCTGTCGCAGCACAGTGACCCCAGCCAATCCCGTCGCAGCACAGTGACCCTAGCCAATCCTGTCGCAGCACAGTGACCCTAGCCAATCCTGTCGCAGCACAGTGACCCCAGCCAATCCCGTCTCAGCACAGTGACCCCAGACAATCCTGTCGCAACACAGTGACCCCAGCCAATCCCGTCGCAGCACAGTGACCCCAGCCAATCCCGTCGCAGCACAGTGACCCCAGCCAATCCCGTCGCAGCACAGTGACCCCAGCCAATCCTGTCGCAGCACAGTGACCCCAGCCAATCCCGTCGCAGCACAGTGACCCCAGCCAATCCCGTCGCAGCACAGTGACCCCAGCCAATCCCGTCACAGCAGTGACCCCAGCCAATCCCGTCGCAGCACAGTGACCCCAGCCAATCCCGTCGCAGCACAGTGACCCCAGCCAATCCTGTCGCAACACAGTGATCCCAGCCAATCCCGTCGCAGCATAACCACCTCAGCCAATCCCGTCGCAGCATAACCACCCCAGCCAATCCCGTCGCAGCACAGTGACCCCAGCCAATCCTGTCGCAGCACAGTGACCCCAGCCAATCCTGTCGCAACACAGTGACCCCAGCCAATCCCGTCGCAGCACAGTGACCCCAGCCAATCCCGTCGCAGCACAGTGACCCCAGCCAATCCTGTCGCAGCACAGTGACCCCAGCCAATCCCGTCGCAGCACAGTGACCCCAGCCAATCCCGTCGCAGCACAGTGACCCCAGCCAATCCCGTCGCAGCACAGTGACCCCAGCCAATCCCGTCGCAGCACAGTGACCCCAGCCAATCCCGTCGCAGCACAGTGACCCCAGCCAATCCCGTCGCAGCACAGTGACCCCAGCCAATCCTGTCGCAGCACAGTGACCCCAGCCAATCCCGTCGCAGCACAGTGACCCCAGCCAATCCCGTCGCAGCACAGTGACCCCAGCCAATCCCGTCGCAGCACAGTGACCCCAGCCAATCCTGTCGCAGCACAGTGACCCCAGCCAATCCCGTCGCAGCACAGTGACCCCAGCCAATCCCGTCGCAGCACAGTGACCCCAGCCAATCCCGTCGCAGCACAGTGACCCCAGCCAATCCTGTCGCAGCACAGTGACCCCAGCCAATCCTGTCGCAGCACAGTGATCCCAGCCAATCCCGTCGCAGCATAACCACCTCAGCCAATCCCGTCGCAGCACAGTGACCCCAGCCAATCCCGTCGCAGCACAGTGACCCCAGCCAATCCCGTCGCAGCACAGTGACCCCAGCCAATCCTGTCGCAGCACAGTGACCCCACCCAATCCTGTCGCAACACAGTGACCCCAGCCAATCCCGTCGCAGCACAGTGACCCCAGCCAATCCCGTCGCAGCACAGTGACCCCAGCCCATCCTGTCGCAGCACAGTGACCCCAGCCAATCCCGTCGCAGCACAGTGACCCCAGCCAATCCCGTCGCAGCACAGTGACCCCAGCCAATCCTGTCGCAGCACAGTGACCCCAGCCAATCCTGTCGCAACACAGTGACCCCAGCCAATCCCGTCGCAGCACAGTGACCCCAGCCAATCCTGTCGCAGCACACAGACCAAAGCCAATCCCGTTGCAGCATAACCACCTCAGCCAATCCCGTCGCAGCAGGCACCAGAGGAGCCGGTGACAGGCCACATTCACCCAACTGCATTCAACCACAATCTTTTTTAGATTTTTTTTCCATTTTCCATCAATCCATCTTCTTTGATCCTTAATCCATTCCAGGCGGGTGGCAGTTAGAGCTACAGACAGAACAGAGCACCAGCCCCTCACTGATCCTCCTGCAGGTGCTCAGTCCAGGTGATCTTTCAGCAGGAGCTTCAGGCAAAGTGGGGTTAAGTGTCTTGCCCAAGGACACGACAGCAGTCATCAGTGGGAGTCGTGAAGTGGGTCTTTTTGTGGGCTCGAACCCAGAACCTACAGGCTCAAAGGCCAATGCTCTACCAACTGAGCCACTGCTACTTATGTTATACGTATACAACTCATATCGGTTCGTGGCAGTTTATCGGGAGAAGATGGTGACCACATCTGGAGACTTGATTTGGCTGCAGCTTAAACTGACAAGCTTTCATTGTGTCCTTAGGCAAGACACTTCACCCATATTCCCTAGCATGAGTCTGGTGTGTGTGTGTGAATGGTTGGTGGTTGTCGGAGGGGCTGATGGAACATTCTGGTTGCCTCGCTTCTGTCAGTGTGCCCCAGGGCAGCTGTGACTACAGAAGTTCATCACCACAGTATGAAGTGAAAGAATAATAATGTGAAGCATCTTTGAGTGTTGACGGTGGATCAGAGTATTGGCCTTTGAGCCTGAAGGTAGTGGGTTCAATCCCTCCGACTCCCATCAACGTCTGCTGTCGTTGTGTCCTTGGGCAAGACACTTCACCTCACTTTGCCTGAAACCTCCGCTGA